GAAAAACAAAATTTTTTGATGCAATAAGTGTCTTTATTCGAAATAAGTGTGCTTATCTACCTAGTATTTTCGGACTATTCGTCAAGCTTTATTGGTGGCCTGTATGTGGATATATCATAATGCGGTTAATAGGAAAATTTCAGCTCTATCGGTCAAACAAAAGTATGAAAAGTATCATTAACACTGTATTCTCAGTATCCCTCAGTAGCACATCCTCAGAAAAAAATTCGTCAGAAAAAAAACCAATATACACATTTTGCCAAAACAAATTATGCCGGTTGTAGTTCATCACAAGGGCTATCAGTATATGTATAAATCTCAAAATCGAGTTTTTTTTGAAAAATTGACTTTTCTGAGGGGGGGGGGGGCTTAATGCGTTGACTTGGGCCCATCACAGTTAAAATTAAAGTGACTTAAGAAATACATTCTTATTCAAGGAGTAATATGAAGAGATAACATACATCTTTCTTGTTTAGTTAAATCGAGATGAGTTGAGTTAAACGTACAAACGAAATAAATTATAATACAGAATACGTATAAAATCGTGCATTGAGCTTATGCGAAGGACGAACTGAGTTAAGGAATGTGCTTTATATGAATAAGAAAGAAGTATTATGAGTATAAATCTGCATTTATATAGCAAAAGGGTGATATACACGTCTCTCGTAACATAGAATCATGTGCTTTTTTGAGTATTATATCGAAGAGTTTTCATATGTTTTGAAGTTTCAAATTTATTTAAAATCGAGCTTCAGATACATCACAGTTATATATATGAAAAGATAAGATAAAATATATGTAGCTTTTTGGATATGAGTAATTGGACCAATGTGTTTTATAATGGCTAATGATACAAAATGTTTGTTCTGCAATCTGACTGTTAACATTGTCAAACATATTCTTGTGCAATGAATGATCTGCACGCATCTCATTTCTACACATATGCCGAGTGTGATTTCGCTGATGGAAAGTATCGAGCACGAAGTGAACGTTGTGATAAAAATGATCACTAATTGGAGTAGATTTAAAATAATCTGTTCCATATCGTGCTGTCATGTAAAGTTTTAGTGAACAAGCAGTGTCGTATATAATTCCCAAAGGAAATTTGCTGAATCGCCCTTAAAAAAAAGGATTTATGAGGCAAGAAAATATATGGTTTACCAATTCGAATTAAATGTCTTAAAACACGACGTGGTGACTCAGATCGTATTGATTCATCAAAACCAGCCACGATCCCACACGAGTAAAAGGAAACCAAAAACCCATAAGTTGTCGATCGAGTTTGATCGTCAGATAACTCATTACGTTTAACGTTACATGTTTCATCTGTTACATCATCCGATGCATCAAATTCCATAACATGAATACCACGATTAGCAACTATTTCGAGATGCTTTTCGCAAAGACCATTCGAATTGATTTCTACGTTATTATGCCGCTGAAGTCGTTGTATTTTGGAAATTTTTATCAATCATTTTTAAAATGTAAAAGTTTTGTATGTCTTTCTATACAATTCTACTGCAGCATCTCCTTGATCACCAGCTGCTTTTCTAAGAACTTCTTCTGTTACAAAATCGGTTAGGGATTCAGCACCTTCTAAAGAATGAATATTTAGTCGTTCACAACGTCCTCGCGTTTCATTTGCAATTTGTTTGAAATTATCTTTTGCATGTCTAGTAAGATAAAATGCATGAACAGGTATGTTTTTCGATTTTAACTTTTGTAACTCATGCGTATAATATGTTGGCTTACCAAATCTAGTCTTCTCCCAGTATGCTTCACCAAAGCGCGCTCGCTTTTGACGGACCTCTGATTCAGTATTTGCTGGAGCATCTCCTATTAGAATTACTTGAGAGATTGAGTCTGGCATTTCGCTTTCTTTAACTGCGTGCCATAAACCAATTTCAATAGCTTCTGCTCCCATTCCACCTTTAGGACCGATTGTATTCATAAATGCTCTTAAATTATTAGCTTTTGTCTCCCAAGCAGAAGCTTGCAAAATCTCATTCTCTCTAGAATTATAATTTCGATATATGGCAATCTGCATCTGAAATGAATTACTAAGAAGATTTTTCCCCTTCAAAATAGCAGAAGCGCGTTCAAACATAGTACAAACCGTTTCTTTGGTAGCAGATAATAAACTTGACATAGACCCAGTCGCATCCATAAGCAAAACTGTACGAGAACAACCTGCTACTAAATTTGCTCCTTGATTTTGCTTCTTTAAAAATTCTTTCACTGCTTGAATATTTCTTGAAGTCAATGCTGTCATAAAACCTTTAGAAGCTTCATGTTCCTGTTTGCATTGTTCTATAGAAAGTTCTTTTGCGCCACACCTACTCTCATAAAGTGCGTTACGAGCCTTATTCAAATTTTGGTAAAGAATAGAGCCTAGTATTTTTGGAAGCTCTTCCTCCCAAGTAGATCCAAGGATCCATTCTAAGTCTTTATCTAACAAAATCATTCTGTATGAACCACGATCTCCTTGTCGTGCTCCTCTTCCCATAATTTGATATTCTTCAGATAATTCTTCTGAAAAGAATGTTTGAAGTACATGAATGCCACCATGAGCTAAAAGCTGTTGATTGCGGCATATAAAATCAGTTCCTCGGCCAAATATTCGCGTTAATAGTGTAACTCTGCCTTCTGTCGCAGCACGCCTAATACACAGTTCTCTCTCTTCAACAGAAACCTTTTCTGTAATAATTTGCACATCTTCTTTTATCGATGATAATTCAGAAGAATTGTAAAAAGTCATCAATTTTTCGTCAGATTCGAAAAACACCAAAATGGCACGCCCTGCATGACATACAACATCAATATCTCCACGTAATGTCATGAAATATTCAGACTCTTTCACTACATGTACATCAGTGTTCGAATTATAGACGCGATTGCTGCTTCCAAATACCGATGGAATAAATGTGTTTTTTGTCACTTCATACACTCTTTTTAATATATTCTTTTCAGACTGAGCAAGGGTTTTCAAAGTACCAGTGACACCAGTGATATAAGCAAAATCATGTGGCATTTCAGCATAGGAGAATGTTCCACAGTTTACAATAATGCCTACATTCGTTTCTAAGCTAACCTGACTGATATTATCTTTCTCATGTTCATGATAATAGGCCCATACTGTACTATAACCATGTACAACATTATCGACTATCGATTCACCTTCGACATAAACAATTCTATCATTCTGTACAATATACGTTGAAGATTGAAACGATTTTAAAGCAGTCAACATATCTTGTACAGCTTCATCGATAAGGAAAATCCAATTACTAAAACGAGTAGCACACGCTTTGTATGCTGACATGTCTTTGACAGCATTCAAATTTCGTATTGTTCTATTTTGCCAGATTATATCCAGCAACGCCTTTATGATAGGGTCGATCAAATATACTGAAGGTGTATACGTTCCACCATAGAATTTCTCGCTGAGAAAAACATCGACTTCGTCAATTAACAACACTTTTGGATCTATGCGTACTGATTTTGCTGCTATATCGATCATATTTTCATTATTTAGAATCATGTCACGTACTTTTTCTCTCACATTACATTGCTTATTCAACAAATTCTCACACAATCTGTTAAAAGTACCATATTCAATACGTTCTTCTATTCCAAGTGCCCTGAAGACTGAAGCAAAATCACTTTTATCTCTCATACTTAGTGCTTCACTATAGCACGAACAATTAACATCAACTCCAATTAAAGCGAATACACAGGCAGTCACTGCCATCACAACTGATTTACCTTCGCCCGTTCCTATTTGTACCAAATTGTTCATCAAATCGTCATGTTCATTATAACCGATACCAAGAATACGGAAAATAGCAATAACTTGTCCAACATGTGGCATTAATAGATAAGCTCGTGCTGCTTCAATGCCACGCATAACATTATAATGCTGGGTATTTTTTAAAGTCCATAGAGCAAAAATATGCGCCAATAATACAGGAATCTTTTTCTTAAAGGAATGATTCTAACGAACAGTATTACAATGTTTTTGAACTACTGTTCCCACAAGAACTTTAATTTCAGAAATTAATATGTCAAGATTTGGCTCTGCGTCAGACATTTTATCAAGTGAATCTAAATATCGAGATATCAAGCCGTCATATGTTTGTCGAAAAGTGTGATAACATGTGCGCAACACTTCCGTAGCAATATCGCCTCCGTCTAATTCTTTGAGCATGTACTCTATATCATCTTGTTTTTGCATTTTTTCACGTCGTCTACGCCAATCTTCTCCAGCCAAACAAGCATGCTCGGCTATTAATCTGCTACCTATATCTGTTTTTTCTAGTACTATCGGAAGCTGCATAAATGCTTTAGTATGCACTTTTATTTTGTAGGCTTTTAGTGCTTCATCGATTTCTGCATTAATTTTACTATCAAACATCGATAGATTTTCAGTGAAAAATTTCATTTTTATCAGCATTTCGGCGACTTTTGCAACATCTGAGCCGGAAGCTGCTATTTCTCTAGATAAGAATATTACCTTATCGAGAATTTTCTCTTCTGCCATGTCTAACATATGTCGAACATCAAAGTCTGACATACGTACGTGTCTATCAAAGGATAAGAGATGGTTGTAATACATACGAAACTTATCAGAATCTTGTTGTGACAGATCTGTTTTTGATGCAATAGTAAGAAGTTGATCACCAAGTCGTGTAACTTTCTTCTTGAGTTCTTCTTCTAACTTCTCTATATCTAATCTAAATGGTAAAAGATCTTTCAATTTGGAATTGATCTGTCTTAATGCACTAATTAATTTCATCAAATTACTAAAAAATTCTTCACGTTGTCTTTCAAATAGTGTTGTATCATCACTAATGAGATCGATATTTAATTGTACTATCAAATTATTTCTTTCTTTCTCCAATTCAACAATCATATCTGCATATAGAATGACATTTGCAGTGTCTTGCAAAACATTTTTCATTAAAGTATGTTTTGAATGACATTGTCTAATCTTTTGTATAAGTACATCCCATCGCTTAGCTATTATTAGAACTTGACGTAATTCAATAACATTCATCTTGCTAATAGCGAGTCGATATTTTTTCGAATTTTCATCAATATATTCGTACATATTCTGAAACTTCTCACAACCATATTGCAGAACACTTTCTGGTAGAAATTTTTCGACTACTGTATCACGCGTAATAGAAAAATCGATACAAATGATCATATTACTAAAAGCTTTTTCAACAATCTGACATTGTTCAATTGTAGCTATGTTGGCGAGAGTGTCGGAATAATGTGCAAAATTTTTACTTATTAGATCACGAACACTTTTATAAATGCCTTCTACTTCTGGAATATCAGTGCCTGCAGATTCTCTATATGTGATAATTTTCTTCACAATATCAATAGCGGACTGCATATCTTGCATATTCAAACAAAGTTTCCACCTCTGTTCGATATTCATACAGTCTTCTTGAAATTTCTGCACGTAATAGCTCATAAAGTTCATGCATGTTTTGTTCTTCATATCGGTGAGCAAATGCAGCGATTTTTTTGATGGAATGATCATCTTCATCACTACTTCTGAGAACCTCCTCTAAATCACGTCTGTATGTTTTCTCTTCATCGATAAATAACTTGTTCAATTCATCAATCTGCAATTTGAATAAAGTTTGTAATTCTTCTGGCAAAAAGCATAATGCATATTTTAACTGACGTAATTTTGTAGAACGTTCATCCAAAGAAGCAACACGTACTTCATCTATAGATTGACTAAAATTTTGCCGAATTTTTCCCAGCATGGAAATGTAAGCTTGATGGTACCTTACATCACCTCGTGACGCAACTATCTTCAATTTCGCTAAAAGATCTTTAGGTGGATTCACGGAGTAGTTGTTAATATTTGCAAAGTCATCACGTTTCAAAATCTCAACAACTATATCGTCCAACCTTTTTCTTAATACTTTAGTCTTTTCAGTAACCGAACTGGATGTACAATAATCTGCTAATTCATGCTGCACCCAGCTCAGATTTTCCATAATTTGTTCTGCCTCGCCAAAACTATCGACATTCAAAAAAACTTCAATTACATTAAGTCCTCGTAAAATAATTTCAGACAAAATTTCATGAATTTCATTGTCAAAATTTCGAACACAGCTTTGAGTCTCTCGATCAAGCAATTCCATAATACTGTTTTTATTCAGAACAATTCGAATTTTCTCAATATTTTCTTTGATTTCCTTTATTTGATACCTATTATTTTCTCTTTCGATTTTTCCATCTAACCAATGAACAATGCTTCTGGTATTCTTCACCAACGTATTTATTGAGTTTTTTAAATCGTGCTTAATCTGCGCTAGATCATTCGGATTCAAAAATCTGTCATCAATGCGACATAATGCCGTATCTATATTCGCATAGTCTCCCTTAGATATGAAATCTAACACAATCCTATAGGCTTCTCTAGCTTCTTTATCAGTTTCGATTTGATACTGTCTGTATAGGGCTTGAAATCCATTACCTCCAAACACACCTGAACAAAATATATCTAGGGAACTCAATATTTGTGCAATAATTAGTTGATCTTTTAAGTCTTTCAACCTACCCGAAGCTCTATATTGTTCCATATTATAACTCAGTGTATGGTGATACTGAAGAAATCGTTGATACCAACTTTCGAGCCTCTTGGTTCCATCAACGCATTCAAAAACACGTTCATATCTACTCAGAGAAGATAATTCTTGTAATCGCATTTGTAAATCATGAGAGTACTGTAAAGGACCTCCTTCAGCATCGATACGACATGCATGCTGAAATTTCGTACTGATTTCATGATCCAGAAAATTGCCATATTCGCGTATATAATCTTGTAGAATCTGAATAGTATCACTCGCAATTTCTTTGACATGAATATGACTCACTTTTTCGCATTGGCTGAGATACAGTAAAGCGTTATTCGCTGCTGATGCATCTAATCTATTACTATAATCATATCGTTGCTTAGTCTTCTCACGTTCAGCAATAATTCTCTTTTTCTCTTGAATACTTTGATCAAGTAATTCAGGACTACGAAATCCTTTGGCTCGTAGAACGTTCATCTCTTCAGAAGAGATAGAATCACGTGATACTAATAACGAGTTATATTCTTCTCTTATTGAATGTCTACGTTCTTTTAAATAATCTGTATTTTTTAGAATTTCGATCTCGTGATTCAGTGTACTTATATCTGGATACGCTTGTTTTCGTAGATATACATGGGCTGGATGCAAATTTTCATATTCACATTTTATTTGCTCGAGTTCTTTTAGCTCCTGTTTCATTTTATAGACAGTTTTATCTTGTAAGTTGAAAGTTTTTTGAATATGATCGAAATTTATCTGTGCAGCCTGTAAAAAGTGTTGAAATATACGATTTTTGTATTTTTCGAGTTCGGGAACGCTACTTTCCAAAGCACTCATGCATTCAATTTTCGCAAGAACTTCCTGTGCTACACCAACATTCTCAGGACATTTCAAACTTAAATTCAATTTTATCAAGTGATCCTCTAATTGATGAGCATAGCGCATTAAGTCTTCTGTGATGTCATGCATCAAAGTATCATACGTTCCTGGACTAACACGATTGATCCATTCTGCATTTTTCTAACGCAACAGTGATCGCGCAAAATGTGTGAAACTAATTATTCCTGTTTTATTATCAATACTAACTAGAAATTGTTCTGCAGTTTTCTGCAGATGTTGCACATATCCACGTATTTTTTCAATGGTACGGAAATATGTTCCAGCAGTTTTCGGCTCAATTTCTGGAATGGTACGTATAGTCTCCATTTGAATAATCAATTTTTCTATATACTCTAAAGCAAAATCGCCATCTTTTTCAAAATGCTCCTTAATCCTTTGATCGATTTCATGGAAATATCTGACAATCTGTGCAATAAATTTATTGTAAATTGCGTTCAAATCCTGGAAATTATCTTTTGAGATATGGTGTACAACGTATTCCTCTGATGTTTTGGTTTTTCTTTTCAACTTTTCCACATATGTAGAAATACGATCTTGAAGCGCAGAATTCTCTTTTGCCGATCTCAGTGCTACGAGATAATTTTTCAAGATTTCTAGATCACTATCGTTCAACTGCATCTTCTCCAAAAGAAGAGCTACTTTTTCGGAGAAACTACTTAAGTGTTGCAAGAGCATTTTTACAATGTCTCGATACTTTTCTTCAATATATTCACCCAAATGATCTTTTAGAATATACGAAGATTTAGATATTGTAAGAATGATTTCAGCAACAGCTTGAAATTCATTAACAGAAATCAGTTCACGCGCAGATAGTACTAGTTTTTCACAATGCTCTGCAAAATCTTTACAACTTTGATTATATTGTGGTTCAAGTTCTTGAAACGAATTTTTCAGCATCAGCAGATTATGTAAATAGACTCCGACCAAAGAACTGTGTAAAGATTCTTCAGCCAGAGCAAGACTTCTTTGTTGAAGTTCAGAGTGAATGTTTTGTATAAATGCTGCTGCTGATATCAGTTGTGATCCTAAATATTCTCTCAATTGTTGGATATTTTGAATATATTCTATACAAGTTTTATACTGGCAAATGTCCTCCTCTCTCAATCCATCTTGATTAGCCAAAGTACGATTAAATTTCAATATTACGTCTTTAGAATACTCTTCGATGCTTTTACGTACAAAGTCTACGGAATCTTCATATGCATCTCGAACGGCACTTTGCTTGATTAAGTCCTTTAGTGTCTTTAAACTGTTTAAATAATACATCATAAGAGCAATATCTTTGTGTTTTAATGCACAAGTAATGTTCAGCTTATATTTTTGGACTTGATTTACTATAGTTACTTGTGTTTCTTCACTCATAGGAAATCGAAAAACTTCTCCTGGATACTGAATACCACGTAGACGCTGTAATTCTCTAATTAGAATTTTTGGATCTCCATAAACAGGATCTAATATGTATGCACCGTTCGTAGTTTTTTCAATCATATCTGACAATACTTTTATGAAGGCACTATCCCACCGTAAAGAAGAATCCTTATCTACATGAAGAGTTTTAATATTCCGTAATAGAGTAGTAATATTAATTGCCTCGGGATATTTTGTAAATGCATAAAAAATAGCGTCAAGTCTATCCTCTATTCCATGCACCATATTGATCAACATGTGCGCCAGTCTCTGAATACCTTGTCCTTTATCACCTAAACTCGGATAACTTAATAAAGCAAGTATCTTAATACTCTTACATTTCTTCAGAGCTGCAATAACTCCCGTAGCATTAGCAACATTTACTTCGGGATCTATGATGTCACCAAAGCCTGGCATATCACATAGCGTAATCTCTTGAATCTCATGAAGACCAAAAATGTCCTTCAATTGTACTGTAACCGGTACAATACAACGAGTTCCAGGCTTCATCTGTGGATTACTCGTCA